GTTTGGTTGATACGTGGCAGGGCATTTGAAAACACTTAATAAAAAGTAGGAAAAAAGGAATGGAACTGGAAATCTGGAGTATGGAGTGAGAGTCTTTGATATTGCGCAGGATAGACAAACTAGAGGGGTTTTTGAAATTCTCACAATACATGTACCATAAGCACTAAAATGCACTAAATTTGGCACCTTTTAGAATTATTTGGAAATTCGTTCAGCAGGCTGACCCTTAGTTTGTGGGGATAGTTTTTTGAATCCATTTATCTAAGGGGCTCACTATTCATGATATATGAATCAAATTATGAATTTACTGAAGTTTGAAGGTTAAAATCTGTATTGGTTTCTAAGACCTGTGCAACTGCAAAGGTCCTGTACCTGGCCTATTAAAAAAAAAATAAAAAAAAAATAAAAAAACAAGAAAAAACATTAAGTTCGGCCGAGTCGAACGTTAAATTCCCTCCAACGATAACTCATCATTTTTGTATAAAAATATCTGGACTCAAACGTGTTCCACTCTAAACTGCAAATACCAGTGAATTCGGTTGGAGAATGCAGTTAAAGTTTTCAAATAATAAAAAAGTGGGTGGAGCCGTTATATGGGTCATATCAAAAACGGAAACCTATATTGACAAAATTGAAACAGTGGACAAATGTGACAAAATGCTGAATATCTGTGGGTACCGTTATTTGGAAAACGTGGACCAATATTGATAATGTTTGATATCGTTTGCTGAACCCAATGTGAACAACAAATATCAACTTTTACAAAAATCCGTTAGAAAATATGGCTTAAATTGTCAAAATACGGAATAGCGGAAGGTACTTTTATATGTCACCATAGGAAAATTTAGACACAATGTTCTGCCATGGAAAATTGTGGCTAAAACCAAAATACTTAATATCGGGAGGTGCCATTATATGGCGACTATATTAGACCATCAGAGGTAGAATCTTAAAAAAAAATCTTCATATCAACTTCGGAACGATAATTACAATTATCGTTCGATCTTCACGAAATTTTTTTATTGTTTTGGAAGATGTTCGTAAAATATGTAGGTTTTAACATGGACCAAAAACCTAAAAATTCTTTAGATTTTGCAGTCGCCTTACAGTTCCTAACTAAGGACCCATAGACATTAATTTTTTTAGTACACCAAATTCTTCCTCTCTCTCTCTCTCTGTTTTCCTTTTTTCCGCGCAAAAACACTTCATGCTTTGTTTTCGATAATATACTGCCTATCGTGTACAACTTCGAGTAGAAACAATTCGATAACGACTGTGGTGGTCTGCGAAAACTACATTACGAAGTACTCGATTTCGACTGCGGTGATTTGGCCCCAGATCTATTATGATTATTCGAAAAGTGATGCAATTAGATTTTACATTAGCTTTTATTACGTAGTAGATATGGGGATGCGTCATAGAGAAATCTTTAGTCCAGTCAAAAGGGTTTTAGATCTGCAGAAACTTTACCGCAAATTATAATGTTGTAGATTATAAAATGGTCTGCTCCACCCGACTATAGTCTATGCTTACTTGATTTTAGCTAACGTTAAACAATTAACAATTCAATTATAAAATAAGTAAGAAAGGGCTATACCCGTGCGGGGCCGACCATGTGATACCCTTGAACATTACAATATGTTAGAAGCCCCTTTATATAAAAATCCATTTTGGAAGATTTCGCTTTTGCATTTTGACAAGGGACATTTGCCCAATATTTATGCACTCCGTCGGTCTGTTAGTTCAATTTTGGTCATCCAAAATGCTAGAATTCTTCTCTGTCCTTAACTCTCTTCTCGGGCGTTTCTATTGGCTTCAATTGTGTGATCAGGAAAAAGTAAGAGGCCCCTCTGTATCTCCAAATTTAGACTCATCTATATGATTTGCTTGTCTATGATATTTGGCTATATTCGTCAACGAAATCAGCTAAAAACCAGAACAGAAAGTCCTAAAGTCGGGCGGGGCCGATTTTATGATACCCTACACCACTTTGCTAATTTAGTTCAGTTCCACATAACAATTAAAAGTTTTTATGGGAGAATTCATTCATACACCCTATGATTATAATTATAATTTAAAGTTCAAAGGACTAAATATGCCGAAGCATTTTATCTTTTAAATTCGGACTTGTATTGCCCATTTGGTGCAAAATTAATTTGAAATCAGATAAAGATATATATAGGAGATATATCCAAATCTGAACCGATCTCGATAAAATTTGACAAAGATATTTCTGAGCTGTAGTTGATATACTTCCCTGAATATCGTTGTTACGGAGTGCATATTACGGCTGTGGCTAACAAATACAACAAATCGAATGAAAAATATATAAGGGAGCTATAGTTATATCTGAACCGATCTTCACCAAATTTGGCATACTACCTTCTAGACTAAATTCGGTCGTATGTGCCAAATTCCATCCCATTTGGGCAAATATTAGACGTTTGGTGCACAATAAAGGGTAAATCGGACGAAGTTATATATGGGAGCTTTATCCAAATCTGAACCGATCTCGATAAAATTTAGCAAATGTATTTCTGAGCTGCATTTGATATATTTCTCCAAATACTGTTGTTACAGAGTGCATATTACGGCTGCGGAGGACAAAAATAACAAATCGGATAAACAATATATATGGGAGCTATAGCTATATCTGAACCGATTTCGATCAAATTTGGCATACTTATTTTCACGTTTGGTCCACAATAAAAGGCAAATCGGACGAAGATATATATGGGAGCTATATCTAAATTTTTACCGATTATCTCCAATTTCAATAGGGTTCGTCCTTGGGCCAAACAAATGTCGTTTGGACAATTTCATCTCAATCGTTTGATAAATGCGACCTGCATTTTGTTCACAAGACTGACGGACTGACATGCATAAATCAATTCAGAAAGTGATTATATGCAGATCATCAAAAGGAACTATGGATCTATCTCGTTTCTTTTTGCCTGTTAAAAACAAATGCACAAAGACATAATACCCTGACCACCTTGTAGTGTAGGGTATAAAAGCCTATAAGTTATGCGGTATTTTTTCACACAAAAGTAGTGGTCCATTCTACCCGCTGTCCTAAACTCTAACTTCATGAGAGATTTCATGTCCTTTGCTTTCTATTTGTGACCTTTATAACGGTTCCAAAATCAGGAACATTTTAGTTGCTAGTCCATTTTAACCCCTAAATATATTGCGAACATCTTTGAAAACCATAGACCTAGCCCTTCTGAGCTTAACCCTCTTGTGAAAAATTTCCGACGATAATTGCACCCTGTATATAACCCCAACCTATGTTGTAAGGTGAAAAATATTTCAAAATGTACACTTCAATATTATAAGTCAAATTAATTTAACCGCATGCGATTAAAAATATGAAAAAATAAAAAAATGTCACAAAATACTACCAAATCTATATTAACATCATTATTGGCATCTTTTTATGCGATTTCTTAGATTTTATACTTTTATGCTACGAGGACATTCTGAATTGACAAAATTTGTCAAAATCGGTCTAGCCATTCTTGAGATATAAGTATTATAGCTAAAATTCCCTTCCTTTGTATATATACATTGTATATACTTCGCTATATATTAAAAATATTCACGGTTTAATGGAAAACTTGACTTTATCACAGATCAGACCATCAAAATTAGAAGGCTTCTGCCCAGCCCTAAGCTCTAGTTCTATGCTATCTTCCGCGTCGATTGCGACCTGTAGAGCAATTGCAAAATCAGGAAATTTTTCAGTTTTTGGTCCATTTCAACTCCTAAACATTTCCAAAAGCAATAGGCGTCTATTCTGGCCCTAGCCACCTTCCTTCTAAATTTCGTGAAGATCGGGCCATAATTGCGACCTATATAGTGATTAAAAATTAACATGGACTGACGGACAGACGTACAGCTCCACTCAGCTCGACGTGATAGGAAGATCCATATATACTTTCCGTTGTGGGCAACCAATATTTTGAGGTGTTACATAATTTTTGACCCAATCAAATTTATAATACCCCCAACACATGGTGTTGTAGGGTATAAAAATAAAAACTTAACAATATTGCGTATATTTTAATAAGAATAAAATTATTACAGCTCCTTCATGTTTTAAGAGCGTGTCAGATTCCATATAAGATGTGCATAACACATTTCTGTGGAATATTGTAGTTGTAGGGTATAAAAATACGCGATAGGAACTATAGTGCGTGAGATTTTTTTGTATTTAATTTTCTGTTTTGTTTTGTACCCTAATTGGTTTAAAAACACGTTTATGTACCGCTATGAATATTTATTACTGCCAAAGGGTTTTATTCTAAAATTCAATGTTTATTGTGAATTTTTCAGAAACTTACCTTTAAGACGCCTATTTCCTAATTGCATAAAGTTTTTAATTTAATATATTCCAAGCAATTCATTATTAATCCACCAGTATTTTTGGAATTTTTTTTTTTTTCATGACAATTTTATTAACAAAAATATTAGAACCCTCAAACGGTACTCTACGCTCCAGTTCTCTCCCTTTAAGATATAAATTAAATAAGTCAATGAGCTGATATGTCATTCCATTGAAGAAATGGTTGGTTGAGACTTTGTCCACAAAAAAAAAAAAATATTTCCTTGAGACAAAAGCAATTCCTTAAGAACAACATTTTAATATATTCAGCGCTTTTTTCTTCTGCTCTGCCAAACATAAAATAGGTTCATTCATATTCATAATTTATAACTGTGTGAAATTATGAAAGACGGGCTGCCGGAGGAGAGCGACAGAGAAAGGAGGACATTTTTATTATATTAACATAATTTATGTGGAAATGCCATTTTAAATTAATATAGACATCTTGGCCGGCTACTAGACTTCATACACCCCGCCCCCTCCTGTTTCTTTGTTCTGACAAATAGGGGAGGAAAACATATTTCTTAAATTTTACTTACTTTGATTTGTTAAACATTTCCTGCTACAGCTTTTTGGAATGGGAGTTTAAAAATGTAGAAAAAGCTAGTTCGGGTTTTTTTACTGTACAATTTTGTTATTTATTTCTTCTTGTTATTTATTTTTTACACTATTGTCCTTAAATTATCCTTTGTTTTCATTGTTTTTTTTTTTAATTATATTTTCTTTAAGATGTTGTTGTAATTGAATTAATTAGAACAAATTTTTTTTGGTGAACCTTTGCATCAGTTCTCCGGTATAGTTTTTATTTCTTGTTTTGAATTTATTATTACCAAATTAACTATTTTTTCCCGGTACAAAACAGAGCTGAGAGAAGTTTTGAGGAATTTCACTGGTTCAATACATGCTTGCGGGGACAGACAACTTCTCCTGCTCCTCACAATTGGCGTAAGCTATGCTTACGTTTATTGTTTTTATTGTTACAGCATTCGACGTGCTTTGCTGTATGGTGGTAGGAGTTGGGGTTGCTGTTATTGCTGCTACTGACGCTGCCGCTTCCGCTGCTACTGCTGCTGACATATCCATTTCTGCTATATTGATGTTGATATTGATGATGTATAATGGGACTATATGGGAAGTATTGGACCAAACGGTTGTATCAATGCACCCAGGATGGTGGCGTTACGACGCTCTGCTGTGGATATTGTACTATGGCATTAAGATTGGATGTTGGCGATTGTGTCACCGGCAATTCTAGGCCGGTTGTCATTGGTGTATTATTGTTGTTGTTAAGCATTGGCGGTAGCTGTTGTTGTTGCTGCTGCTGTTGCTGATGTTGTTGTTGCTGCTGTTGCTGTTGTTGTAGCATTTGTTGTTGCTGCTGTTGCAAATGAGCCTGCAGCTGAGCATGCAATTGCTGCTGTGTTGTCAGAGGTGCAGTTGTTGTATTGGCTAATGTTGTCGCATTGTTTACGGCTCCCATATGACCAGCATTTGAGACACTGTTATTTACATTGCTGCTGCTATTGACATCTGTCAGTGGTATATTAATGTCGAGTAGACCATCAATGCTTATTTCCTGTTGCATTAGCTGAAAATGACGGGAAAATAGGAATATGTTTAAAATCTGTTTAAAAAATAAATAAATAAATAAACAATAAACTTAAAGTTCGATCACTAAGTCAAAATAAATTCTTTGCTGCGATGAAATCGTGACATTGGTAGTAAATATTGCAAAGCTGTTAGTTTCGTAAAAAAAAAAAAAAACATTATTCTATAATAGAAAGTAATATGGAGATTATCTGTCAAGTGGCAAATACGGATCTCTATTGTGCCAGACTAATCGAGATTGTTGAGGGTGATGTCGCCCTTCCTCGAACAACATGGCATGACTGACTATATACAATGTCTTTCCATTGAACCCCTACAAATATGCGAGAAAATAATTGGTAATGTGGCAAATACGGATCTCTATTGTGCCAGACTAATCGAGATTGTTGAGGGTGATGTCGCCCTTCCTCGAACAACATGGCATGACTGACTATATACAATGTCTTTCCATTGAACCCCTACAAATATGCGAGAAAATAATTGGTAATGCTGTATTTCTCTTTGAATCTATGTTAATGGTGGGCAACTTGGAGCATTTCTCACACTGAAGGGAATTATGCCTCATAGGTCATAGGTCTTTGTTACTGCCAGTGGCTGTTCACGCCGGCGGACTTTTTTTATTTTCAGTTGTATCAAAACTCATCTGTTTTGTTGAGACAGACATTCTCATTTTAGTGCGAACAATGAATGGAGAGGTTATAATTGGATCCAATTTATGAAAGTATCAGCATAAATACTATTTAACATGGACTTGTCAGGTGTTGCCGAATAGAGACCTGAGAACCACATTCGTACTTCTAATCTCCACCATTATTATTCAGCATTCAATAAAGTTTTACAAATGCATCAACCTTTCTCAAGAAAACTCAGAAATAAGGATTCATCCTTCAATTCCAATTTTTACTGTATAATCTACTTATAAACAGAATATGGTATAGATCAAACAATTTTCCAGATATCGCGAAACATGCTATTTCAATTATTTGACAGGAATGCAGTAATTCTTTTTAATAGAAACGTTGTTAAACTTTCTTTTGTTAGTGTAAAAAAATAAAACAATCAAATAAATTTTTGAAAAAATAACAAAGAATAAAGTTGTTAAAAAGTTACTGAATATAGAATCTTTTCTGGTTGAGCACCCAATTACAATTCAATTGATTATTTCTAAAACTTCCTTACAACTTAGATTTTACTAACCCGAAAGAAATTTGTTAAAAATCTGCCTATAATTAGCAAAATACTGAACATCCGGACGTGCCATTATAAGAGGGCAATAGAAAAATGCGGACATACATTGACAATGTTCCATTACCGGATGTACAACTTATAACGTACTATAAACACCAAATTTTAAACAAGCCCGTTAGAAATATAAATATAAAACCAGTAAAGAAAGGTTAAAAATCGGACGGGCCCGACTTTATGGTACCCCACACAATTATGCATATTTAATAGAGTTACATCTATCTATATCCAAATTTGAAACGATCTCTATAAATTGATAGCTGATATATATAGGAGCTATAGTTATATCTGAACCGATTTTCACCAAAATTGACGTACATCTTTGTAAGTTCAATTTGGTCGCTCTTTGGGCTAATATTACACATCGAGTGCACAATAAAACATAAATCAAATATACAGAGAGATATGAAAAAACTAAAAGTGGTGAACTGCCGAATTCGGGTTTCTCCGATGAGAAAACAATCGTTGTCCAGCAGTTTGTAAACAAACAAAATGATCGTGTTTACTTGCTAAAGATGTCAGCTGAAAATGTGCACCTTGGGTTTGTCACCAGAACTCAGGCGCCGGCCATGGTGATGGTGTGGACCGCCATAACAGCCGATGGTCGCTCTCCGCTCGTATTAATCGACCGTGGCATCAGAATAAATGCTGCAGGGCGCATTAAAGCCTTGGGAACCCAAACATTTTGGCCACAGACCTTGGACATTCCAACAGGACTCAGCGCCCTTGCACTCAGCACGCGCTACCCAAGAATGGTAACAAAATGAGGTTCCTCGCTTCAATACCAGCGCACCATGGCCAACAAAATCTTTGGATACCAATCCCTTGGACTATTGTGTCTGGAGTATTTTGGAATGCAAGGTTGGTTTGGAAACGCAAGTTTACCAAAGTGTCGATCACCTCAAGCAAGCGCCGGAAATGGGCCAAAATAACGCAGATCAACACTCGGCTAACATTCATTGGCCGTTTGAAGGCCATAATTCGTGCCAAAGGTGACCAATTCGAACAAATCTAAACTTATTCTAAAATTTGATGCTATTTCAAATATTTTTGGATTCATTCAATTTAAAAATTGTGGCTTTTTACTTTGTTGCCCTGTATTTTCCCGAATATTGTTGATATTTGGAGATAATATTGTTGGAGGTAATTTTAAGGTTGTTGGAGGTAATTTTAAGGTTGTGAGGGACAAAAATAACAAATCGGATGAAGGATATATATGGGAGCTATAGTTATATCTAAACCGATTTTCACCAAATTTGACGTACTGTTTGTAAGCTCAATGTTGTCGCTATTTAGGCTAATATTACACATGTAGTGCACAACAAAAGACAAATCAGACATATACACATACATAAAATAACTCTATCTAAATATTGACCGATTATCTCAAATTTCAGTAGGGTTTACCTTGGGCCAAACAAATGATTTAACATATACACACAGACGGACGGACATCCATAAATCGACTCAGAAAGTGATTTTGTGAGGATCCTCAAAAATAACTATGGGTTTTTCTCGTTTCACTCTCAATGTTACAAAGAAATGCACAAATATCTTTTACCCTGACTACAGTCACTGACCGTTGAATAGAGATGCACCGAATATAGAGAGGCACCGTCATCTGGATGCTAGGGAAAAAGATTATTAGACAACTCCATCAGAATGTGTGGCCATCAGACAATGGTGGAAAGTGATAGGAGGTAGAACCAAATTCGAACAATTTTTAATTTGAAACAATCAATGTTATTGGCATTTTTAATGGTTCTATCCATGGTATAATAATATCAAGGTAGGGCTATGATGATAATATGTCATCTTTGTTTGTTTATATGTGTGTTTTCTTTTCAATAACAAAAAAAGTTGTTCAGAAAATATTCAAAATGTTATTTCAACGTATGCAGTTATCGCGGTTTTCAATTATTTATTCAAAATAAATGCAACAAGTTGTTTGATTTTTCATTGTTTTGATACTAATTCCGACATTACAAGCCAAACAGGTAGACCTCTATGCTTGCAGTTTTTTCAAAGTTGTCCTACCTTCTCTTCATTGTACCATGGTTCTATCTAGGTAATTTTGTCTGTGTTATTGTTCATTTAGGCGTCAGGATGGGTTTGCAATCATTTTAAGTATATATTTATGCCCCACGCTGTGATAGAAGGTATTATGTGCATTTATTTGTAACATGCAAAAGTATAATAGCATGGGTCAATGATTCTTTGGTGATTTCCATAGAATTATATTTTGAGTCGACTTATGCATGTCAGTTCGTCGGTTCATCTGCCTATCCATGTTTTTTTTTTTTTAAGAAAAGTATGAGTGAAATTAAGATGAATACCACATACGTAGTTCTTTTGCTTGACTCCAATACCCTATAACAATAAGATATAGCTCCCATATATATCATCGTCCGATTACACGATCCATACCTCTATCTTCATTTGTTAGAAAAATATGGATTTTTGGCACATGTGTAAATTAAACAGTAATTTTTTTGATGGAAGTCAACATGGACTTAAATATTACATATATTTTTCTTCAAACTTACCTCTTCAACATTGCACTCCAAACCACCTTGAAAATTTTCTATATTAAATTCGTCAATTGGTGCCGCCTCATTGTTCAGAGCACCCAAGTATTGTCCTATTAAAGTTGATGCGCAATTATTATCTGGAAAATATGTCAAAATCAATATATGCCACCGCCACCACCACAAATACAATAACAACTAAATAAACTACAACAACTACTAATAAACAAAAATATTTACTAAACAACAGAAGATCTTCTTCGGCGGTCTTACCTTCTAAATTTGAGCTATGTTGTTGGGTCTGTTGCTGCTGCTGCTGTTGTTGTTGTAATTGTCTTTGCTGTTGATGCTGCAGCATCAAATGATTGGAGCCACTGCCATCGGATGAGACTCCTGAGGCACCATCAATAACTACATTGGCATAAGTGTTTAAAGAATCCGATGAGGGTTCACTGTTTGGATAGGCGGGTGACATAGTTTGAACTGAGTTTGGCGAGAGGCCCTAAAAGGGAGCAGAGAGAGAGAGAGAATTGGAAAGGAAATAAAAACCTTTTGGTACTTGGTGACTGGTCATTGTGTACATACCTCACGTGTTGTACGCAAACAGGTGCAGGTGAGCGAACGATGCAGCATACATTGCTGTGTGGGCAAATTACTGTAACCCTGTGCCATGGGGCCATTGAGCGTATAGGTTGGTTGCTGTTGTTGTTGCTGATTGTTGCTAGGATATGGCGGTGGGGGTTGAGTGGGCATTCCCGAAGCCGTGCTAAACCTATGCCAGCCATATGACCGTTTGTTTCCAAAAAAAGATCAAAATATAAAAAGAACACTTGACTTTATAGATCGGTTTTTGCTTCGCATTTGACAATATTGACAGAAATACTTTAAGGATTTTTGTTTGGAATGCTATGAAACAACATCAAAATCATGCAAATGTTAATTTTACAGTGTAATATTGTTAAGCTTAGCTACATGCATTGCTTGGAAAAAATTAATTTTAGTTTTTTTTTTTCAACATAAATTTTGAAATGAGTGGGGAGTTTAAAAACAGAAAACCAAAACAAAAACAACACAAGAAAAAATCAAAATAACAACTGACCCTTGTTGTTGCTGTTGTTGCTGTTGCTGCTGCTGCTGTTGCTGCATCCGGTCCTTTTGCAGTGTCAACTCCTCGGCCATGGAACCAGCCAACTTGTCCATAGTAGCAGCCGATGCTGAATTCTGATAATCAGCCGGGAAACCCCAATCGTAGTCCAAATTTACCAGAGGTCTTGGACTTAAACGTCCACAGGAACTGGCATTTGAAGAAGCACGTTGTCTAAAGTCCGGCGATATGGGAAAACCACTAATGGCATGTGTGTGTTAGATGTTGTATGCGAAAGGAAATAAAAAAGAACAACAAAATAAAGAAAAAATTTAAACAAAAAGCAACAAAGAAAGTGTTGTTAAAATTAAAAACAAAATGCAAGAAATTAGAATTAAGTTGTTTTTTGGGTGAATAATTTAATCTCACATGCGGAGCAAATGTAGCTAATCTACATTTTTAATCGCTACAAAAATCGATTTGCTTTAAAATGCAAGCTCGTAAAGCAACTACAAAATTTTAAATCTATGAAACAAATAAAAAATATTAAATTGTTAAATTTATTTTTTCTGTAAATCTTTTATTTTTCTTTTCATACCCTAAATTCCATGTGTTGGAAATCTTTTTCGAAATCTTTAGACTTTTGGACTTTTAAAGAATATCCAACATTCATGCACAATATTAAAGGAAGTTATTATTATTCAAAACGTTAACCTTTTGTGAGGGAAACACAGCAATAAATGGACCCCCATTGCATTTTTAATCCTAAACTATGTGCTAACTAAATATTGCGATTTGATCAATATGATCTTTTCATGTTTTTAAAATTTTCGAAATATTAGTCCTGCACATAGGATGTTATGTATGGGTCATTCTATCTCGCCAAGCTGAGTCGATCTAGCTATGTATGTCCCATCCGTCTGTCCATGTTAAATTGTAATCAGACGACAGGTCGCAATTATGATCCCGATTCTCACGAAATTTTGCATGGAGATGGAGAGATGATCGCAAAATGTTTAGGGATTGACATGGATCAAAAACAGAAAAAATTGTTATGTTTGTAGTTGGTTGGTAGAGGTCAGAATTTGGTAGAAGCCTTTCATCGATGGTCATCGAATTATATTTGGCGCATGATAAACCATAATTTTTGTGAAAACAAGTAAAAAAAAAAACATTAAGTTCAGCTGGGCCGAACTTTTAATACCCCCCACCTTAGGGTAAAGAAAACATTTTTATATAAAAGTATCTGAATTCAAGCGTGTTTCACTTTAATCTTCATATACCAGTAAGACAGTTTGGATAATGCAGTTAAACTTATCAAAAAACCATAAAGTGAGTCAAGCCGTTATATGGGGTCATACGAGAACGGGAACCTCTATAGGCAATTTAATACTTCTGGTTTAATAAAATACCAAATTTAAAACAATTATGTAGGTAAATGTGATTAGGACAAAATACCGAATATCGGTGGGTATCGTTATATAAGCGCTATAAGAAATCTTGGAACTAAATATTCAATATTCTGCCACCGGGCTGGGACCCATTATGAGCTACAAATACCAATTTTTAGACAAATCCGTGGGAAAATGTGGCAAAAATCATTAAAATACCGAATATCGGAAGGTACCGTTATATGGGGGGCCATACCAAAAAATGCACCTATACATACAAAGTTTCGCCTCACAAGCTGGAACCCACTATACCCTACTAATGTCAATTTTTAGACAAATCCGTTTAAAACCATGGCAAAACAAGTAAGCAAAGGCTACAGTCGAGCGGGCCGACCGTTGAATACCCTACAACACTATAATAAACGATACAGTTTATATAGGCGAGATACTCGAAAGAATTCCACAAGATATTGTGACAAATAATAAAAGAAAACCATCAGGTTTCGTTCTCTAATTTTCGAATAATAGCAACTTAAACTAATTTGCTCATTTCCAATTTATTGGTAGATGTTGCACGTAAATGGTCTTCCTAGATCTGGAACCAATATTTCTCAAAGACCTATAATTTCTTAGAAGTGGTAAAATATTAACATTTATTATTGGTTTTTGACTGAAACGCATCTATATGAGATACAGACATTTGACTATATTCGTTAACGAAATAGTCAGAAGTGCGTCTTTCCTGTGTTTGTGAATTCTCGAAAAAGTCTCTGGAGTGGACATTTTCGTATTTAGTCTACAAAAGTTGGCAAACTATTTCACACATTGAATATTTTTGGATGGCCATCCAAAATTATTTGGCTTTTGCAATGTCCGGTAACCCCCTTTCAAATGTGCGTGAGGATCGGGCGATAATTACGACCTGCCGACAATTTTGCAGTTTTTTGGTCCATTTCAACCCCTAAATATATGGCGATCATCTCCAAAAAAAGTAGGCTTCTATTCTGACCCTCATCTTATCCCCATGCAAAATTTCGTAAGGATCGGGCCGTAAATGCGATCTGTATATGATATCATGATATCCTAAATACTTAGTTTTGTTAGCTGTAGAAATATTACCAAATGTTTAATTCAAAATGAAAATATGCCAAAAATATGACAAAATTGAAAAAATATGAGAAAATTTTACAAAATCAATATTTTCATCTTTAGAGAGATATTTTTATGCGATTTTTTTAGACGTTTTTTCTTTCCTGCCAAGAGGCCATTCTGAATTAATGAGAACTGTCGAAATCAGTTCAGCCGTTCTAGACATATAAGAGATCTTTCAAGCATATCTTCTTTGATAAACATATATATCGCACATATTTTGCTATATATCCGATTTTTTGGATGTTAACATCAATGTAAAGGTCAGAAGTAACCTTCTCATGGCTTTGTGATTTCGCCGGGATTTAAAATATTCGCGGTTTAATGAAAAATTTTGAATTTTTTCAAAACAAAATATATGGTCTATTTTACCCGCTAAATATTATCCGATGACCACCCAAATTGGTAGGCTTCTTCCCCGTCCTAAACTCTAGCTACATGCGAAATTCCGCGTCGATTGGTCTATAATTGCGACCTGTATAGCTACTGCAAAATCCGACATTTTTTCAGTATTTGGTCCATTTCAACCCCTAAACATTTGGCGATCATCTCAAAAAGGAATAGGGTTCTATTCTGACCCTAGCCACACCTCCATTCTAAATTTCGTAAAGATCGGGCCATAATTGCGACCTGTAGAGTGATTACAAATTAACATGGACAGACGGACAGACGGACAGACGGACGGACGGACATACATAGCTAGATCGACTCATCTCGGCGAGCTAGGATGATCCATATATACTTTCCTATGTGGGAAACCAATATTTCGTGGTGTTACATAATTTTTGGCCCAATCAAACTTATAATACCCCCAACACATAGTGTTGTAGGGTATAAAAACATCAAAATACCGAATATAGGCAGGTACCGTTATATTGGGGCTATACCAAAACGTGGACCTATACATTCCCACACGGGCTAGAGCCCATTATGACCTACAAAGACTAATTTTAGACAAATCCGTGGAAAAATGTGGCAAAAATCATTAAAATACCGACTATCGGAAGATACCGCTATATGGGGACTATACCAAAAACGTGGACCGATATATCGCATTTTTAATACCAACCATCACAGACACAATGCAAATTTATGTGTTTGTTTTCTCTTTCGAGACGAGCTTAATGATCTGAAATTTGCAGTGAAAAGGAAAGCCAGATAGACACTATCACACACTCATCACTATGCGACGCGTTTCGCCGTTGGTTAAGCGCCGTTGGTTAAGTGGATGATGGCTTACAAGGGCCGTTCTCTGGAAAGTAGTATATATTTCGAACTTATTGCAAATTAGCATATGCGAATTATACACTAGAAACTCTCCAGGTTCGACTCAAGTTCTATTGGCAGATCTTTTTCACAGCAAAGTTTTTGTTTTTGTAGTGATGGATTTTTTGTCCACAAATTGTTTTCCTAAATTTTGAAGCTCTACGTCAAATAATGTGGGCTGTATCGTGATTTCAACAGACAGACGGACTTCATTAAATCGACTTAGATTTTTATGCGGATTATGAATATATATACTTCATGGGGTCTACCACGAATATTTAGGGATGCTTCAAGGTGAAGGGTTTAAAAATACCAAAATTTCCGCAAATATTTTTAATTCCCGCAAAAACGCAAATACACGAAAAGGTCACTTTTGACTGTTACATTGATGTTCCAAGAAGGGAATGTTAGTTGGACCGCTTATTACTCATGAACGGCTGGATGGATTTTGACATTTCTCACCAATTCAGAATGGCGTTTTGGTATAAAGGATAAAATTTAGAAAAATCGCATAAAAAGATGCTAGTAAACATATGAATATTTGTCTTTTATATTTTTAATTTTTGTCATAAATATAGGGCAAATCCTATGAAGATTTGCATGGCCTTACGGTTTTGGTCAAAATCCAAGATAAAACTTTTGCAGGACAATGTAACATTATTTTAAGAACGAATAATAATAAATAAAATAAAATGTTCGATTTGAATAGAAAACATTATTTTAATGTGAAGTTTCTGTTTTTTTTTTTCAAAAGAGCGAATAAAGCCCTTTACTACTTTATTCGGTTTTTATGAAAGCGGAAATCGTTAAAATATTTATGAAATAATCTCGATGAAATATTTATGAAATGAAATAAAAAAAAATTGAAGCAACTAAGCTGACTTGTGTTGCATTAATATAAAATAGCTAATATATATTTTATTGCTATAATAAACTTAGTTATTCGATAAATAAATGTGCAAAATTTTTCGAATCACAAAATTAAAAAAGATCAGATTAATTTCGCTCAAAAATATAGAAATAACTTCAAGCATCTCTAAACTACTATTGCTATAAAGTAAATTGTAATTTTCGATTTAAAAAAAAGAAACAAAATTCTAAAAATAACTACAAACTTTTATCTATTTAAAGTAAATTTAATAAATATATTCTTTGTTTGTTTAAAGATAATAGTTACCTATGCAATGGACTCTCGGGAAAATGATCTAGACCTTCACTTATACTACTGCTCGGCGACGGAGTATTATCTTTGATACCGGTCACACCAGCCTGCCGTAGAGCTTCGACACGTTTCTTGGCACGCCCCCGACGTTTTTCATAGCGCGACGTTTCCATGGAGGCGGCACGTCGGCGCACCGATTTGCCAGGTTTTGCATCCGGATTCAGCATCCACCACGAAGATTTGCCGGTACCTTCGTTTTGTACACGCATAAAACGATTATGTAAAGAGAGATTATGTCTAATTGAGTTCTGCAATTAAATAAAAGAGAGGATAATGTTTTAATAAATTAAATCGATGAATTATTATTAATTATTATTATTAATTAATTATCTGAATTATTCTTGAGATCCGAAAGACAGAAAGTTTATAGCAATTAATTTAGTTAATTTAAGCATTGGGTTCGCTTTGGTTCACCACTCCCCCCCCCCCCCCCCCCTTTTTGGTATTTTTTGTTCTTTTTTAATGTTGTTAAAAGCTGTCTTTAAACGGGATCGTAGCAAGTTAAAATATCATAAGTCATAAAATTCTATAGCTCCTAGAAGACGTCAAAAGTCTTAATCTTACCTAAATGCCAAGAATTCATACAAAAGTTGGCGCAAAAGTAATCCTCCTATAAGAAAATGCTACACATTTTACGATTGGCCCCTAATGTCTTAATTACACGACAAACATCGGAATGTCTATTTGTAGGCTGTAATTAAGCCATTAGGGGGCAATCGTAAAATGTATAGCAGTTTCTTATGGGAGGATTAGTTTTGCGCCACCTTGTATAATAAAAACACATTTTAGGGTTTATGGCCTAATTTTCGTTAGTTTGTGAAAAAAAATCTCCAACAAAGCATCATTTTAGAAGGATGACGCCAAAGACAAAAGTATTCTACATCAAGTTTCACTATAAGCTACAAAAAAACTGTACACCAAAAATTATTTGCATCAATGTTTCCCAACAAAAACCCAAAACTTGTAATTAATTTTTAAATACATTTCTTCTCGCACTTTGTTCGAGTTGACACCTGAAAGCAATATAAAATAAACCAGTCAAAAGTCGGGCAGTGTCGACTATATGATACCCTACACCACTATGCATATTTAGTAGAGCTCCCGTAACAAAAGAATTTATTTCAATATTGGAGAAGGATTATATTAAAAAAATATATATCGGAGCCGAGTTGCACAAAATGGAAACATACGTCCCAAAATTCACTCCATTTGGAGTGACATTAATCATTATTTGCACAATGAACTTGAAATCTGATGAGAGCTATATCTAACCGATTTTCACCAAATTTAATGTACTTGCTACTAGACTGAATTCTGTCGGATGTACCAAAATCAAATCAGGACTTTTTGACAGATATTGGCCATTTGGTGCACAATTAACATGAAATCGGTTGGTTGAAATCGGGAGCTATATCCAAATCTGATCCAATCTTGAAAAAATATGAGACACTTATTTCAGAGCTGTATTTGAAATCTGGCATCAAAGATCATTGTTGTGGAATGCATATTACGCTTGTGAGGGACTTGAAACCTCAAATCGGATGAAACATATGTATGGGAGCTATAGCTATATCTGAATCGTTTTCTCCAGATTTGATTAACTTGCTACTAGACTGAATTCGGTGGGATGTACCGAAATACAGGTAATGTATTCCTATATTTGTGGACAATTAACCCGAAATTGGTTGAAGATATGTGGGATCTAAATCTGTTCCGATTATCAACTTTCCACTATGTGTTGTAGGGTATAAAAATGACATAAATTTTTTGGTGATAAAAACCTTGATTATTTCAGAACAATTTAGTATTTTTTCCAATTCGCTGCAAATTTTCCCCCTGAATAGCGCTTCGTATTTTCCCCACTTTGAAAAATATCACCTAAAACAAATATTGCTAATGAAGAAGAACAAGAAGAAATATGCACTCATATATCTTCTAAGTAATTCAAATGTCATTTCATTGTTTGAAGGCAATAATATTTTATGACATTTCCTTAGACTTTTTGTTTTTTTTTTTTTTGCTTTTTTTCATAACATAATTTGTTGAAGAAGATTCTGACTTCAAAACACAAAATGAAGATAGCTACGAAGAAAAAATAGCAAGGCATACTACTAATTGGATGTTCTTGGCTTGTGGCGTAAGACGCAAAATCAGCAGCCAAGGCAACGACATCATTATTATCATCATCATGAACAATTGTTGCCACCGGTAGGATTCTTTTTTTCCATCTTCTCTGAACCTTCTCAGACACAAACCATCATCACTTAAACTGTCAATTCATATTTTATAACACGCAGTCATAAATACGACAAATGTAGCAAAAATCTATACCAGGTCCAACAATTGAACAGCCAAACGAACGTTCGATTGTCATCAGGCGTAATGGTGTCTGTAAAAAATGCCAGTGTGATGACGACAGGAAAACTACGTGAACTTGTGTTGGATAGGGGTGGGGAAAGCCAAAAAGAAGTGTAACAGCCATAAAACTAAACGGGAATTTGTGTTGATAGCCTGAAAACCACCTTACATTAGCGTTTTTTCTCTTCTCCTACTTTGGCAGAGACAAAAAGAAGACATAACGACGTATTCCAGGCTGGCAGACATATAGACGCATTGCTATGTATGTGCGTGTGTGTGAAAAACCCGTTGAACAGTCAATTTTCCTCCTGTACCAGAAAAAAAACTTTTCTTCTTTTCTTTTTTTCCAAATGTCGCTTGAATAGGACGACGTTTTTTTGGTTGCTTCTTCCTTTACCACTACAACGCCTTATTGGCGCCATACATCAACGTGTGTTAGGCATCCCACTCCATCCACATGCAAGAACAGGATCACCCACAAAACTAAAGGATTCATGGTCGATGACGCGCACACACAACCGAAACTATATTGGTTGGAATGAGACTGAGAACAAATTTCCATTGAACTGAGAAGAAGGACCCACAGCCGCTGCAGCAAAAAAAATCATAACTTTACATTTCGTTACCCCGTTGAGGGGGTGTATGAATAAACGAACGAATGTCTGTCTGTCTGTCTCTAACAACAACTAAATACCCCGAACAAAACTTTTTCTTTTGGCGTCACTTTTGCGAGACATAGACATCACTTAGTACTTTTCGAACATTATCCTGAAAACCTTTACACATTACTTTTAAGGTTATTAAAGGATGTTAGCATAAGGATATTTATTTAAATCTTTGAGATTTTTTTGTTGGACTAAAATAATACGCAACGAAAGGGTTTTAATAGAAGGTAGGGAAGGGCAAAATATTGAAATATGCATGAGAAGTAGTTGGTAGTAATGTATATACGACACATATACATAGGTGTCTTACTTTGATATTCCGTTATGTATGGATTCGTTGAAAATCGAATTACTTATCTTAATTTTTGGAATATTTTCATACATATATTTAAAAGATATTAAGTTTAGCAATTAAATCTTTTTAATGCTTATTCGAAACGTAAAGATACGTGTATTAATAGCTGAAGAGCTTCTAGAGGCCCTCTACGGACAGAATCCCCTTTAAAGTTCTAATATTAATCAAAGATCTTCCAACGCGCTTCCAAGGATAAATGGCCCTTAAAGTATGTTTGTGAAGACATAACTCTTTTCCTTCCGCTAACCTGACCTTATTTCTATAGAAGTCATTCTATTAAATGTAGAGTTGAGGTATTCTATGGAGAAACCCCCATTTAAAATTCCCCACTGAAAAGAAAGCTCAAGGTTTTTTTATGATAAAGAGGCCTATTAAAGCCCTCCAATGAAGAAACAACCGTCTTAAGATTTTCTATAAAGATAATACTCTCCAACTTTCTTCTTCGAAGGTCTTTTAATTTTTTATGAGTACTCCTATTCAATGAAAAAAATGCCTTTCGAGCATCTTCTATGGGTCTACTCTGTCTAAAATAACTTTTGAAGTTACCCTATGATTAGAAGACTTTTTGTATTCACAAAAGGCTATTTTTAGGTCCTCCATAGATCAAAGATCTTTTGAAGGTCTTCTATGAATAGAAACAAGTCTGACAAGTGTTCTATGGCCAGAAGATTTGTTGAATTCTTCTATGAAGAGAAATAGATATCTTTTGTGATTAAATTCTTTAATGGGCAGAAGATCCTACACAGCAAAATACGACAGCCTCATTTCTTCTGTATTAATAGTAAGCTAAAAAAAATAAGAAAACATTTAATTCGGATGGGCCGAACTATTTGCTTAAAAATATTTTTTAATAAAAATGTTAAATTAGAAACAATTCCGATTTTTAACAAATCCGATAGAAAATTTTCTACATTTTCGTAAAAATGCCAAATATGTAGAGGTTCCGTTATATGGAAAACGTAAGTCTATATTTGCAATGTTCCGACACCGGATGTAGAATTAATTTAAAATACAACTTTTGAATAGTTCCGTAAAAAAATGTGGTTGAATTCATAAAAATACCGAATATTGGGAGATAACGTTGTATAGGGCTATAGGAAAATTTAGACCTATATGGAGGTTAGCCACAGGAGATCAAAATAAAATCCTAAAAAATGTGGCTAAAATTGTCAAAATACCGAATATCGGGAGGTACCGTTACATGGGTCCTATAGGAAAATGTAGACCTATAATTCAATGTTGTACCACCAGATGAAAAAGTCAATTCTTAAAAATACAGAATATTGGGATATACCGTTATATAGAGGGTATAGGATACCGTGAACCTATATGAATACTGTTTTGGCACCAGAGGTAGAACTCATTACAAATGTTTAATAATAAGTTGTGAAAAATTCGGTGACAAAATTTTACTAAAATCATTAAAATACTGAATATCGGGAGGTACCGTTATGTGGTACCTCAACGAAAACGTTGACCGATATGACTCATTTTCAACACCAAATACCAAAATGTATCGTGATTTCAACACGGACGAATATCGTTAAATCGACTTTGAATTGTATGCTGATTATGTATGTAAAAATACTTTATGGGGCCTACGACGAATAATTAGATGTGTTGCAAACAGAATGATAAATTTAATATACCTATGGAAGAGGGTAAAATATTGAAGTATTCCTATAAAACTTACAAGCGTTTAAGTGGACACGTCCGACTTCAAAGTCTAAAGTCGCTGATTCGAAAATTCTACTTTAGCGTTTTACCCTGAAAACTGTATAAGCGGAATAACCCCTTAATGAATGGCCGGTAGGTTGAAAATAACAGATCTTTCCTAATGAAGTTTTTTATCCTCATTACCCAGTAATGA